AATATATTAAAACAAGATTACATAAAATATATGTAACAAATTTGAATAATTCAAGTTTAACAAGAAAAAAAAACATAAATATTCCGAGAATAATTTATAATTTTTAAATTTGATATGAAAGGATAAGAATCTATGGGAAAAGGAACAAGCTTTCTTAAGTAAAGAAAAAATCCATTTTGAATCCTTTTCTTTACTTTTTTTCTTCTTATTATATATTTAAATATACAAAATGCTAACATAATCAAAAATTTCGGATCCTATCAATTTCAAATATTTCTAGGTACCTATATATAAAGCTATGTGCATCCTTTCATAAATCAATAAAAATTTTATTCCTTGCTCATCTTTTAAACATACCGAGTATTTTTGTATTGTGTTGGTCCCCAACTTTAAATTTTGTTTTTTCACTACATTTTAACCATTAATCCTTTAGAATAAAAATTTTTTCTTTTCTTTTATTTTTTGACTTTATCAATGATGACAATGATCAAATATTGCATGAATGAATGATTCTTTTTTAAATAAATTATACGAGAAAAATAGAACGAAAGAGAACGAAAAAAATAGCTATATTATTAAAAAATTTGAAAAAAGATATCTTCAATATCTCAAAGAAAATATAAATATTTCCTTTCTTAGAATATTAAACTACAAGAAAAATTTTTTACCATTCACCTTATTTAGTGGTTTATATGGTTTATTTGACTTATTGATTTTTTTGTTTTTTATTTTCATGTTTAAATTTTAAATTTTATTTATGAATTTTAATTATACAACCATGCATATTTTTTTAAGTCTAAATTTTTTTTATAAAAACCAACTACAGAAACAAAATGAAAAGAGCAAAACCTTTAAATTAAATTTAAAAGATTTTTTGGTTTAACTCTCAATCCCATAAAATATCAATTACAGAAGGAATTAAAAAAAAAACATCCTTTTTGGGTTTGAAACCAAAAAAATTAAATTGAATTTTGGGATATAAAATGCCTCAAAGCTATTCTCTAATATTTGATTACATAAAATTTATGCTGTTTACAACAAATAATATTATGATTTGCTCATTTTCTGAAATGCGTACACAAACATATATGCATACCACATAATAATATTTTTATGTGGCGCTGTTTTGAGAATTTTTTAAAAATTTATTTTTAAAATTTTACATGATATCGGATCAATTATTTTTCTATATGTTTTTATTTTATTTTGGCGTACCTAAAGCGACACTTGAAATAAACTGGTATTTTCAACACAGTTTGTTTTCCGATATATCATACCATTGGGAGAATGACACCATTATTACTAACTAATATTTAATCAAAAACAAAAAATTAATTAGAAATTAGTGTTCGGATTTCGAAATAGTTAATTTCAAGGTTTGGACTTTCCAGGTTTGGACTTGAGTCAGCCTTAACAAATTATACCATTTGGTGTGACTAGCTTATTTTCTTTGGAAGCAGGTGAAATCTCTATTTTTTATTCAACCATGTTACATCTACCGCAGCAACTGCGAAAATAATACTGAACGTGTCCAAAAATTGGATCCTTCGAATGAGCTACCGATTTTATGTAGTCTTGACTAACATTCAAATATGAAATTTTTATTTAACAATTAAACCGGAATTTATAGGTTCAATTTAAAATTTATTACAAATTTTAAATTGAACCTATAAACTTCAAAAATAATCGGTTAAAAAGATCGAGCTATATACATATGAAGATAACAAAAGGCATAATATTAACCGTAAACGGAAAAATTATTGTGAACTAATCAAATGCTTATTTTTAAAAATTATTTTGTGGATCAGCGATTAATAATGTATGAATGAGCCAGTCAAAAAAAATCTAAAGTATTACCAGTGGTATTGATATTTGAATAAATCTAACAAAAGGAAATACTATATAGAAATTGAAAATTAAATCGAAAATAATGAATAATTAGAAAATAATAATTTTGAATGAAATTTCTAAACCGCTTATGGTTCTAGTTATAGCATCTCTTTATGTAGAACTAATCAAATTCTCCCTCAAGCTCTAGTCTCACAGCTCTAGTTTAACAGAACTCATGTTAAATCCTTGAATAAATTTAAATTCTTGAAACAATTAAATTTTCAACAATATTATTCAGTTTATATAAACATTAAGTGATTGATGATATGAAATGATTATTGCCTTAGATTGAACTAAATAACAAGCAAAATAATCAATTTTTATTACATATACATACAAATTTAAATTATACAAATGCAATTGAACTATTTATAATCATCAGCATATCAATTTTAGATTTATCATAGGATACAGGATATTATACTGTACTATCATTGAATTTGATATTATTGAACGCAGTAGATAGATGAAAAAATTAAAATTCATTCAAATGCAAAAGGAAATAATAAAAATTACTTATTTTTGAAATGTATTTGTAATTAAACTATTTTTAAACTCATGAACTCATTGCTAAACAATTGTAGATTTTCCATTATATGATTTAACGACAACTACAAGGAATCTGTTCTGGTATATTCAACCAGATGCACTAAATAGGTTTCCTATGATATTTTTAATTTCATGTTTTAAAATGTTATTTCAAATATTAAATTGAGTACGTATCACACACGACTTTACTATTTTAACAAAAATATCCTTAAAATACGCTAGATAATCCAAAAGAGCCCATTCTTGCAGCTACAAATGTAAACTACGGCATTCTAATCACTAATGAATAAAACTAAACACATACGTAAACGTACCTACAAATAAAAATAATTTTTTATTAAATAATTTAAAAAAAAAAAACATTAAAAGAAATATTTAAGTTCTTGAACTTAAAAAATTAAAATAAAGAGAAAAACCAAAATTGTGTAAAAATACAACAAAGAGTTTTAACGCACTTGAACATCACAATCAATGTAAAGAAAATAATGCTATTGTTAAGAGAAACGTGAACAATAACATTAACGTCTATATAGTCGAATATAATATTTAATTCTAATGCCCCCAAAATGAGGTAATAAAAGATAAACTATTTTAGATTTCATACAACTATTTTTATTGTAATTTTATGCTCAATTTGAATTATAAACATAAAAATGAATAGACTTAAAGCAATATAGTACAGAACCTATATGGTCAGCACAAAATCAGGTCGATTACGTTATTCTCTACTTTCCGAATAATATTTTAAAAAAATACAATAAACCTGTTCACTGATATTTCTGATTTTGAGAAAATTATTAAACTTCTATTAATAAACTCCAAAAAGAGCAATTTTTGTTTTGAGTATGAGTTCAGGTTCTGTAGTTTTATTTTCTTGTTTGTAATTAGTGTCATTGCCAAACAGAACTCAGATATTAAATTACACAGAGAAAATTACGCATACAGGTTATTTACATTTCTTTATTAACAAGAAAAGCTTTTATGTTAAAAATTCGACATGTAAAATTGGATGCAATCACAATACTTCCCCTATTTTTTCAATCTGGTCGATAAAAAGAAATAAAGAGAGACTTAAAAAACATTTGAAGTAGTATACACGTTTTATGAAAACTTTCATATGAACAATTAAATTTAATAGACATTTTACTCACGTACATATGTGTTTATTTGTTTGTAAATGTACTAAGTACACAAATGCATAAATTTAATATATAATATAGTTAAGGTGAAAGTACAATAATGTGGAAAAATCCAATAAAATTTTAAATAAAAATTCAGATTTTAATAGTTTCTTAAAAAAGAAAAAAGGAACACAAAATAAGTTTTTTTCAAAAATTTTTTGAAATAGCTCCTTCTCAAATCACGTCGCAACTATTTTTCATAATATCGAATTTTTTGCACTTTTTATGATACTTTTATAGGTATAAATAAGTGTTGGACTGTATTAAATCTATTGAATTAAAAAAAAACCTTATCAGATTTTTAAAATGGGAACATTATTCGGCGCCTACTTAATCAATGCTCAGCCTAATTAAAGCTAAAGTAATATTATGTATAGTAACATAGGACTTAGTACCTTTAAGTATAGAGAATTAAGCTTAATACTATCCTTCAATAATAAGCTGAACGGAGTTAAGCTTCATCGACAACATTCGATCCGAAACAAACTGGATTCCCCTGTCTTATGTAACTTAAAGTTTATGTTACATAACCACATTCATTAATATCTTTATGAAATCCAATTTAATTTTATCAAAATTATTTAATTTAATTAAGCTACAATTTGGCATTTAACAAAAAAAAATATTCTTATGATTTATACATACGGCATTATCCCACGTCTCATACACAAATTCAAATATAATTCATATTTTTTATAAAAATTTTAATAATTTTATGAATAAATTTGAAGTTCATAGTAAAAATTATAAGATTCAATCATCATAGAAATCACACCAATTAGCTTACCAAAATTTAATTCAATTTATGAATTTATATAACAATGTGTCTAGTCTACAACATAACAACAAAAATGAATATTACACTCTTGAAAAGATGAAAAAAAAATTTGCACAAAGCATAAGATTTTTAATTCATAACAATTGCGACTACAATACAATGTTCTCAATCATATTTAATATTTATTATTATAAAAAATCTTTAACAAAGATATTTTAATTTTGAAAAACTTTTTTCTACGAGAAAAAAATTATTTTTTTTTAGTACGGGTATTTGCAAATTACGAGAAAATTATTTTCAGTTCCAAGTATAGTGCTTACTCGAATTGATTTAATTGATTCGCTTGACATATACATCAACAAAAAAGAAAACATGTGCTATTCATAAATTATACAGTTATACAGTGCATTCCTATTACAAAAATAAATAAATTTAAAATTTTATTCAAAAGAAATGTAAGAGAAAATTTTAAAAATATTTTACAATTATATGCATATTTCTGTATAATTCAATTAAATTCTTACTTTATAAATTATAATGTTTATAGTATGAAAAATAATTAATTAATTAACATTATTAAACAATTTACTTTTTTTTTTCAGGTTAACTAGACAATTAAATGATTAAAATTGTTTTAATTCAGGATTTCTGTGAATTATCAATTAAAAAAATTAAATTTGGTATGTAAAAATTAATTGTTATATAATTCACCTTTTTTTATTTACTTATAATTATGAAATTAAAAAAATTTTAAATTAATTATCCTTATTATATTTAATGAATTATTAATAATTTTTATATTATTAAACTTCAATAAATAAGTTTTCAATGTGGCATGTTAATCGTAATATATAATGGAAGTGTTTTATGTCCGTGGATATTATTGGGATAATAATTTGAAAATGGGGCAATGCAGGAAAATACTGTAGTATAAAAAAAAATTAAAAGTAAGAACTTGCAAATAAATTTAAATATTGGAAATTTCATGCTTTGAAAGTAACAAGATAATATTTGAAGTACTTCAAATTAAAGATAAAATCAAAAAAAAATGTCAACATAAAATCTTGTTCATCATCTTCAATTGTTAATTCCTTTAAATCAGTTATATAGTGTCATATATAGACTTTAACTTCATCTATATACCTTTCTTCTACTCATCATTTAGCTATTATAGAAATGTCTTCCTACAAATATCTTCCCTGTAAATTATATAAAAATTTAATTTTAAAATTTCGCGAAAAAACGGCTAAAAATGGTAATGAAACTCTTGCATACATATAATATACCGACGCTTATTATACCTTTTGACAAAAACAAATTTAATTTAATTTTTCCCTTCATTTTATTACGTACAAATAATCCTACAACTTAATAAAAATATTTATAAATTTCAAAATAATCTCCCTTTCTAGAATTCCTTTTTTTTCGGACATCCTACTTTTGTTTTTTTAATATACAATATTTTACTGATTTAAAAATAAAATAAATATATTCAAAGGTTATGAATATTTTATACACATATTGTATGTGGCAAGAAAAATAAACATTATGCAGGATAATGAATGAATTTAATTAATTTATTCGAAATTTTATAATAAACAACATCATTTCTAAAGTTAAATTACTTATAGATTACCTAAAAAATTGTTATTATACTTGAAAAAAAAAAAAAAAATAAATACGAGTAAAATGAAGTGAAAGTCTAAAAAAATTATTTATGTTTTACCTAAATAACATTTTAATTTCTACGGAAAATATGGAATTTTCATTTCCAAAAATTAATATGCAAAATATTCGTAATTATACAAACAAAACATACTGCAATTCTAGAATGCAGAGCATTAAAATTCTGAATATGTTTTTGCTTGTACTTTGCACTTATAAGTATGAATAATATTGAATTTCTAATAACAAAATAATAATTAAATTCATATTTCACGAAAATGTTTTTATAAAAAATATTTTTTTTTCAAAAACAAATTATTGTGCACTATACAAAAAAAAACAGACATTTTTATATGTGTATAACGAATTCAAAAAAATTTTATCTAAAAAAATTTTCATTATTACAATTGTACTTGCAGAATACCTATGTAAAATAGAATAAATTTCAAATATAAATTTATTTTAATAAATGTACACTCAAACATTTTACAAAATGCTGTTACTTTTTGATAATACATGATGCTTTTCTAGGACACTAATTTTGAATAATAAAAAAAAAATTAGTAAAAACCAATTATTTTCCTAAAATCACATTAAAAAAAACCCAAATGGCAGTCTGTGCTTTTTCTAACTTAAAATTGATACATTCTGAAAAATAATATGCATAATCCCATTTTAGTATAAAAATTCAATTCAAAAATCTAATGATGCTACATCATTTAATGAATAGTTTAATTTCTTTCCCAGTATTAGTATAACTTAGTTATAATAAAAAAATATTGCATTGTACCTATATAAAAACAATGTAGTGGCTTCCTCGCCTAGAAAAACCAAAAAAAAAATAATAAGTTTTACTCATATTAGAAGTTTTTATGATAAAATATTAAAATATATTCTCAATCAAAAATATTTATGATACCCTTTAAATTTAAACTAAAAAATTTTATTTTTTATGAAACCCTTTTGTAATATGTATGTATGTACGTATTTATGAAATTTAACAAATTTGAAATTGTATGAACTTTAATATGGCAACAAAAGGCAACAAATCTCGAACTAAAATACTATTAAAAAACAAAATTAAAATGATCTTTGTGTTATTATAAAATTACATAGAACACTTAAGGATCACAAATTAGGTATATATTTAACAAAAACTTTATACGAATTCCTCAAATTAATCAATCTCTCAAATTTTTAATTTATCCTTAAATATCATGTTCAAGTACATACAATATTATAATATGCATGTACAAATGTGCATTTTAATCTGTCTACTTTGTTGATAATTTTGTTTAAAGACATAACAAAGCAAACAAAATCTGTATAACATAAAGGTCTCATATTTTCAGAGAAAAATTTGTTCGAAAATTCAAGGTCATTATTTCAATATTATTACTTTTGTAATATTTTCCTACTGTAACTTCCTTTCACACCCCATATATAACTATGGCATTTACAGTTACAGGTTATATAAAATAACATAATAGTAAATAATGTACTGTGTATTCTAGCATGTCGCAAATTAGTAACAATATTATAAGCATACTTACATAATATGTATGTTCGTACATAATTAAAATTTTCAACAATATTTCAAATATTTTACTCTTTTAAATGCAATTTCAATTTCTTAGTACCTCCTAAAATTAAAATGAAATGAAAATTTTAATGATACACTTTTTTTAAATTTAAGATACATAATATGCTATTTCCATACTACATACATACACATATGTATATGGAAGTGGGTGCATTTTTGTGATTTATTCAACCGAAGATTTATTATGTACATAATGTACATAAAAACCTAAATATTTCCATATCAATTTATGTAATGTATGTACTTACATAATAAGATGTGCGAGACTAATGTTTTCGCATTATTATTTAACAATGTAAAAGGTGAACAATAAAGTACTTTTTTTCAAAAGATTACAAAACAAGATAAAAACCAAATAAAAGTCAAGGGCTTTAATTGAAAATAATGCAAAAATCCTTTTTAAATCCAAAAGGTTTTCTTCAATACAAAAGAATAAAATTTTATAATAGTACGAATATTTATTATTTTTGAGACAAAAGAACGCTCTTTTTTAATTTTTATAAAAAAAAAGTAAAATGTATTTATCAATTTCACCTCGTTAATCTATGAAAAACGTTGAGGTAATGTGCACTTATTGTTCGACAAGCAATTAGTACAAATTCGAAGTAATTAGAACAAATTCGGTAGCTGAACCAATAATTTTATTTTGACTTATTTAATAATAACATTCAATGTCATATCTTTATAAATGAATATAGAACAAATTTTTAGCCTGTAAAGTAAAATTAGTGTTTAATTTGCAAACTGTATATTCTTTTTCGATTTTCAGTTGTAGGGCACACAAATTGTAAGAATTCTGACACGCAAGTTGATAGTCTACAGTAATTACAATTACGATCTTTTGGTAAAAATTTGTAAAGTTTGTTTTTATAATTAATCTTTTAAAGACCTAAATAAATTAAATTTTTCAAAACTTATAGCAAAGAAAATGGCGATAACATCAATCTTATAACAATATACATATACCGTTGGTTCAAGAATTCAAAATGGAAGAAAATTTTGTTTCGAAGCTGAGGTCAAATTTCAAGGTCTTACGAGATACAGGGACTTAAAAAAATTTCAGAAAACTTCTTCTTATTTCAGTTCGTAAAAAAAAAAAAAAAAAAATTCTAAAAGAAAACTTACCTTAAGTGCATACAGATGTATTGTTGCAGCTGAATCCACCTAGCTCGGACTCAGTAGTCGTAAATACTGGCTCGGATTCCGGTTCTTGAACATGTTGTAAGGATCCACCTAGCTCGGATCCAATCACTGCATTTATTGGAGGTCCACCTACCTCGAATCGCTTACGTTGAAACATTGAGCTACACATTTTTACGTATATGCGAGTTTTTTTTTTAAATTTTCAATATTCTTATTAATATTCGTAATATAATATTAAAATAGCCAATATATCTTTAAAAGAATTAACGAATTTAAATTAAAATCACAGCTTCCTGCTTTTTGATAAATCTTAATTATGTAATTTCTTTATAAAATAAAGCTGAACTTGCATCTGCAAAGCTTCTTTAAAAAATTTCAAATAGCAAACAGAAATACCGGAATCCGTTAAATAGTGTTGCCAGAAGATTTAGTAAAAATTTGAAATTAAAAACGTCAAAATCGTAAATTACGAAAAAAAAATAAAATAGCATTTAAAAAACGCATACACCAAAGTGCATGCAAGAAGGACCAATCTTCTGCCTCAAAATTTGCTTTGAGTTAATTGATAATCAAATATCGAAAACAATAAAATCAGATTTATATATCTTACATATCTGCTTTTTATTGTTAAAATAGATTTGTTTTTATTTATTTTAGATTTATTGCAGATAAATCGATATAACATTCCCGCTAACATATATTAAGCTGTGATAAAATACAAATATGATATTTATAATTCACAAAAAATTAACGTCAACAAAAATCGCAAAAAATTTCTCAGAGATTTTAAAAATGTGCGAATAAAGAAGCGTGCAAAAGACGATAAATCATCACACTTAACACACAAAACATAAACATAGTAAATATAAAAAAAAAACAATATTAATGCAAATGAATTCCATCTCTTTCAAAGTGAAAAGAATCCTATGTTTGTATGGATCGTTTATATAAAACGCATATTAACATGTAAATGAAAGGGCTATTTTAATGTTAGTTAATTTAACGTTTGTATCTAATAATTTTTAATATTATTGGTATATTTGATTTGTGACAAAATTAAAAGAGCTTCAAATTATATGAACCTACTATGAACCATCTTATATACACATATAAACAACTAAACATCTTTATTATAGCATATGTATTACATTAATACAAATCAAATATGTCAACTAAACATTGCAACCGGTTTGAAAGATTCGTTTCAAACAACTTATTGTACATATTTTGTTTTTCTACTCATTTTATATTATTTTCATTCGGATGATTGTCAAAATTTTAAAAACAAAATCACATACCTTTGTCCTCTTTTTTATCATTTGTCATTTGACGAAGAAAAGTAAGTCACATATAGCATCATATATTATAATTTAAATTTAGACTGCTTTACATCTTGTTACTTCTGTTAATTACAAATAATTCTTTGGTTACCCTATTGGACATTATAGATACAGATTTTAAATCATTTCTATTTACTACATACATAATAATATCAAAAAAAAAAAGTGCATATTGTCTAAGCTTCAGTATTTTGATTTTGTTATAAACTGAAAAAAAATTGACTATTCCCATCACTATGACGCTTTTCTACAATATTAAATGTGATGTAGTTCTTTACTCTTTTCACAATGTCTCAAATAATGTATTCTGGTAGCGTAAAAGGGAAAGTTATATTACATAAAAATACCTGTGCAATTTTGAAGAACCACTGTAAAGAAAAAATTTCAAATATACTTATCTCCTTTTAACACATGCGCATAAATAACTTGTATCAAAGAAAACAAATATTCCTTATTCTGTTTCGCATACAAAGCGTTGACGTCAATTCACAATAGAAAATCAATTATTTCAATTCAAGAGTTCAAAATGGCCGGGTGTGTGAACAAATGAAATTTGCAAAGAAAATATTTTAAAAATATTTAATAACTAAAATAATTGAAAAATTGTGCGAAAATAAAAATTAAGTTACATGCAAATTTTTTTTAAAATTTTTCAAAACTTATACCTAAAATATTGTCATTGTGAACATCAAAATAATTTTTTTTGTGTGTGAAAATTCACAATAATTGTTTTGCTTGGAAAAAAAGCATATTTAGAAGTGAGAATAAAAATAAGGAGTTTTACAAAATAAAGAGTGATAAACAATTCATAAATATAAATAGTATATAGATGAAAGTATTTCTAGAAGAATTCGAAAATTATAAACAAAAATAATCAACAGAAATCTCATAAATATTGCATACTGTATTTTTGTACAAAGATATTTAGTAAGTGGCGGCGGCGGTTTTTATTAAAAGATAGGTTGTACTCATACAACTTGCAATTCCTACAAAAAATATATTAATTAATGAAAAATGGATGCTTTTGACGAAGTAAGAAATATGGGTATACCCGAAATTGCGGATTCATGTAATACTACAGCTAATCCCAATAATGGTTATCACACAAATACTGACTTAAATGCTGATGAATATAACGCAGAGGATATAAATTACAAAAATGATAATTCAACGGCGGAAGAATATCAACCAATTGAACAAGAAAATCAAAACACTGATGTCGCTGACCTTGAAATAACTAAAGAAGAAGAAAAACTTAATAGCGAAGAACAACCTTTAATTGAAGAGCCAACAATTGAAAAAGATCCTGAGGAAAATGGTGATGAAGATGGGGAAGAAGAAGATAAAGATACAAACGAAAAAATATCAAATGGATTAGATACAGAGGAAAAAGATGTAAGTTATGAAAAACAAAATGTTTTTTTGCCTATTGCAAGGGAAATATGAATGTATAGGGAAAAAACCGGCTTAATTTTGCAAATACTCTTATGCGCCATAGATTTCATGTACTCATGTATTATGTTAATAACGATCGCTATATGCAATGTATAGAACATTTTTATGTTGAGGTTAACAAAGAGTCTTGCAATAGGCGCTAAAGTTTTAATCTTTAAATTACAGTCTCAATTTTATTATTTATTTTTATAATAGGAAACTGTTGATAAGGAAGAAGAGGAAACAACAGAGGTGGATACAATAAGTAGACGGGAAAAGGAATCAAAAAATTATAAAGAGGATGATGATGAAGATGATGATGATCAATTGCCATTGGCCAAACGAATGACTAATTCTAATAAAAAACAATCTGGTAATTCAAAACCATCGGTTGTAAAACGTGGGCCTCGGGGTCCTTACAACAAAAATAGAAGTAAACTTGAACCTATAGCTCCTACAGAAACCGAAAGCGGAGATGGACTCGATGAAAATCAATGCCGAGTTTGTTTAGTTAAAGAAGATTTAATAAGTATATTCAAAACAGATAATAAACTATCAATAGCTGATAAATTAATGAATGTATGCTCAGGAATTCGCATACAACGTAAAGACTTTTTGCCTCAATTTATATGTAATACATGTATGCAAAGTGTTCAAGTCGCTTATAATTTGAAGGTGCTATGTGAAACTACAGACAAAGATCTGCGCAGTAAATTATCGAGAAGTAAAAAGAAAATGCGTCGTCCAGCAACGGAGTATGTGTTATTAGACGCTACAAAATTTCCGAGTGATGAAAGCGACAACGATCTTGAAGATAACGATGATGAATTCAAACTGTCAAATGAAGAAGTTGTGAAATCTTCAGGCACTGATCCAACTGATTCGGGTTCTGACTATGGCAGTAGAAGGAGATCAAGGCGCGTTCGAACAAAAAAGCCCCAAAAGAAAAAACGTGAAATAATAAAACCAATAATTATTGCATCACCTCCTCCACCAGTGAAATCTGCAGCTAGGCCCACACCAGTAGCAAAAAAGCCGGGATCAACGAATTCTGCTGCAAAAAGAAATCGTAAAGAATCATCTTCGCCAGAGAAACGCCCTTCAGCCGATTTTAGCAGTGGCAGTGAAGACAATTATACTCCACCAGCTCGTAAGCGTAAGGAAGTTAAAAATAAAAGTGGATCTACTCCTATTAATGCACCAAAAGAAGCACAATGCCCTTATTGTAATGAAATCCTACCTTCGCAGAGTGCCCTAATAAAACATAAAAAAACGCATAGTAATCAACCATTAAATTGTGAAATGTGTGGCAAATCATTTAAACTATTAGCGGCGTACCAAGCTCACGTTGAAAAGCATAAAACTGATGGCGATTCATTGAAATGTGATAAATGTGAAAAAACCTTTACAAAATTAGTTGAAAGAAAACGCCATATGATTGAAGTTCATAATGAGAAACCTGAAACATTCCCCTGTGAAAAATGTAAACGCGTTTTTGCTTTAAAGAAAACTCTAGAACGACATCTTGAAGATGGTAAATGTCCCGGACCCAAACCACCACGACCGCCTGTACCGACACCAGTAAAAAAAGCAAAATCTGATGTTGAAAATTTAACATTGGGACGAGATTTATTTAAATGTGTCGCACCCCTAACAACAACATACTGGAGCGACAGTTTTTCGGAATAAAGTGGAAATATTTCTGATATTTTTATTTTCTAATTTTAATAACTTCTTTTTTCTTTCTTTCTGCATAAAAGAAACTTTTTTAAAATGTTGCATACTACGAAAAAAATTTTTTTTTAAAACATTTTGGTCGTATTGGTAGACGTAACTATATACGTGAAATTATAAGTATATTAATTTTTCATAATTTGAGAAAAAACAAATTTCGAATTTAATTTTTGTACATAGATTTGATAAAACACCAGAGATGTGAAGCTCATTTGCACATAGAAATTTTTAGCATTAAAATTTTATAAATTCATAAGAAAATGAAAATTTTAAATCATTAAGAAAATTACTACAATTTTGGTCATTTTGTTATGACTAAAATTCAATAATAAAAAAAAAATTTAATACTTTTTTTTTAATTAGTTTTAAAAATTGATTATTTTGCTTTTAGGCTTTAGTTTTTGTTATTAAATTAAGGATTTAAAACAAACTAAAAACAAGAAACTCTTATGACTATTATATAAACTTATATATGTATTGTAATACTGTGTAATAACTTTTTTTGTTTTATAAAACAAAAATACCACTTTACGTTTATTTCTTTTAAGAATTTAAACTTTAATTTTTTTCGCCAAATTTATATTTTTCTTTTTAAAAATAAAAAATAAAAATAAGTTTTTAATTGTAAATATTTGTGTTTAATTGTCTTTTATATTCATATTAATTATTTTTTTATAGAAAAATAATTCCAACACAAAGCTAGTTCGCCTATATTTTTATATATATTCCAAAATATTAAGATTGACTTAATCGATTATTCTTTATACTAGTGTTGCATATTTTATAAGTCGCATATTTAAAAAACTTTTAGTTAGTATAAAAGCCTATTTAATTTTTATGGTGATGCATTAATTGTTCAATTATAAATTGAATAAAGAAAGTCAGATATGCATAAACTAACTTGAAAGTAAAGGAGGAATTTTGGAACTTGAAAGCTAATTTTAATATGCATATATACATTTGTTACGTGTTGTTTTTAAAAAGTTTCCAAATTTTATAAATTATTTAAGAATAATTTTAAAGATTTTAACTTAGATTCTTAAAAAATTTTTAATAAAAAATTAAAATAGCTACTGGCATGTTATATAAAAGAGAGAGAGAACTAATACGTACATGTTATATAAAACATAATATATTTAAAAACTTATACAAGATCATTTCTAGCCATGCTCCTTTTGATTTTAATGAGTACTAAATATGTTTTAAATTTAGACTGTAAGTGTTTGCATATAATTATGTACCTGCCTTTGAAGGTAAGCATATAATTATTTTTATTTTAAAATTATAATTTAATTATGAAAATATTAACGATATAATATATATTTTTGATTACATTTTCTTTAAAATCATTCTCAATGTATGATTCGGAAATAAGTAAAGTAAAATTATATAATATCATTAATTTATTTTAATTTTTTTATAACTATAAGCTCCTTTCATATTTCTTTCATTTACATTTTAGAATGGTGACCTACCTATTATAGGATTTTCATAAGAATATACAAAATCCTATCTATAGGATTTTCATAAGAATATACAAAAATTATTGTTATTTTTTAAAATTACTAATGAATATTTTAAATTTGATTTTCAATGTTCTAATTGAATATTTTATATGATAAAGAAACTGTACGAAAATCAACTGTACAGAGTATCTATATGTTGTGATTGCATACATCCATAATTATGTAAAATATATTTTTGGAAAATAAATATTGCAAGTACATTTTATAAACTTTTTTTTTTTTACATATTTATTTTTTTCCTTCTTTTTTCTTTATTTCTAGAAAAAGTTACAACGTAGATAATGTATTTTGTGTCGATGTGGCTTTTAAAGGATATTTGAATATTAAATTATAATAAAGTAGAATATATATTATATATCGTATATTGTACATACTCGTACATGTACTTACATACGATTTCTTTTTAAGCAACAGCAAGAAGAAGGCAAAAAATAAAAACAGGATAATCTGATACTTTAACCAATTTAATAAAGAAATGAAATAGGAGAATTTATTACTATATATGTATGTATGTATGAATTTTTATTGAGATTCACATACCTTTAGATCTATTGCGTGTTTCTATAGATATCGCATTATATAAAAACATTTTTGATGAAAATAATTCAAATGAAAAGAAAAAAAAAATTATAATATCAAGAAGAATAATAATAAAAAAAATATAATATGCATGCATAAATAAAAGAAAGAAATCATTATTGACTCTATATTAACGTACATTGAAAGAAAATTTTACTTTTGCATACATGAAATTCTCTAACTCGAAAATAAAATACAAACACTGATTTCATAAATGTTTTTAGGAAAGAAATGTTCAAAAAGTATATGAGAAGATTAAGAAAACAATTTATTAAAAGAAAATCTTTGAAATTCTTATTTAACTCCTGATATAATAGAATAATAATTATGTATTAAACTGAAATTCATATAAAAAAAAAAATAAATTTTGTTTTTTGTTTTTTTTTTTTTTATAATTACAATTTAAAATTTAAGATTTTTTAAAATATATTACAGAGATATAAGAAAAAAATAAAAAAAATAAGAATAGTAAAAAAAAAAATCTGTGATTATTATCAAATCTTTTCGTTGTTGAATAAAAAAAAATTTGATTAAATGCTAAATATATAATAACTTGTAAAATAATAAAAACTCTTAAATTAATATAAAATAAATTCAAGCATATTAAGATAATAAAATTATATAGAATTCAAAATAATATAAAATATAAGTAATAAAATAAAACAAAAAAAAAAAAAGTAATATTAAATCTCCTAAATGATTCCTATAATGAACTCCTCTACTGATACCACCAATACATTTAAAAAAGATCATAATTTAAATTCACAATTAACAACACATAAAACAAATCATTATGATTTACCCGGATTAATGTTATTTGAGAATTTTACAAATGAAATAAATAAATATAATATAACACAAGAACAAATTGAAGCATTTTTATTAGCAGCTAGAAATTTTACATCAGTAACAAGTGGTAGTGAATCTGATTTAGATACAACTGATCCAATATGGTGTAGAGAGATAAGACCAACATTACAGCAATATGAAAGTTATCATGGTTATGTTTCACTTTTGGTAAGTTTACGTTTTTTAAATATAATAAAACTTTGAATTTTTTTTCAAGCATTTTCAAATTTATGAAAATTTTGTTTAGTTTAGAATAATGCGACTAAAAAGTTTGATCAAAGCTATTTCTTTATTGAACTTTTTTTTTATTTTTTTTTTAGATACTGGTATAACAATTTTATATCATACTGTCATTATGTAAATGAATGCTTATTACGAAAAATACGTGCGAGCTGCAAATTATAGGCCAGAGCACTGAATTATGTCAATTTTTTTTACTCTTACAACTGATAAATTATTGAATCATTTTATTCCCAAAAATTACCCAAAATATTTACTTCTGCAAAATCTACCAAAAATATATATAAGAATATTTATTTCAAATTTAAGAAATTTATTCTGATCTCACAATTAAAAAAAACTACAGTGACTTGGTTTTTATTGATTTCATTGACTAATGATTTTCGAGAAATCTTAAACACATAATACATATAGCACTTGAGTATATATAACTAATTAGCCATATTGACGTGGTATAATTCCACTTTCCTTTAAATACTGTTGTGCTATAAGTATACCAGTAAATTTTGTTTTTGTAGGTCAAGGTAATTTTAATATTAAGGAATGTTAATATTAAGGAATGCTACTCGTATATACTAACTAACTGTTTAAAAGTAAAGCACGTACATTTTTAGGAAAATTTCAATTAATTTATTAAGAACGTTTATATGTATATCATTATCGATTTTGGTAATTAAAATGTATCATTTAATAAGTTACTATAATGTAAATTTTACAATATAGGTTTGTTTGTTATCATCATTTAAAATTTTCTATGTATATAAAAAAGATCTTATAAAATTTCTGTTCCAATAATAATGATTATCAATACTTATACCGTAAATTCTTTAAACAAGATTTACGTGATAATTAAAAAAAGAACGTGATAAAATGTTATATACCATTATAATATTTTTTTTTCTTTCTTAAAACAACATGAAATTGTCGACCTATTTAACAATAATAATAATAAAGAATTAGTTGAAAGCAGAAATTTCTCAATAAGTAGGTACGTGAAATTTTTTATATTTTTCTCCTATATGGTATTAAAATTTTCTCTGCAATTCGGGATATTTTTAATTTTTTACATTTATTTTATATAAAAATAAAAATATATTTGAAAAAATAGAATATTTTAATGATGATAAATTTTTTTTTGTTTCTGTTTAAAATTTTTTAATTAGTAGAGGGTCGACTATAGGTAAATATATTTAAAAGAGGAACACGAAAAACCTTAGGCGAAAAAACTTTTAGAAAATATTCCCCAAATTTAATATTCTTCATATTGCACTAAAATATTTAGAAAATGAATAGATACTTTAGGCGGCAACATTGAAACTTGAACACTTAGTGCACTATAGGAATTTTTCGCATAAAGTTTCTCAACATGCTGTTGTAGTATGAATACACGTATTATAAACTTAATTGAAAATTTTTTGTAAATACATGTGTGTGTAAGCATATACTTTGTTTATTCTTTAACCTAATTGATGTAAGTTTAAGCTCTCTCGTTTTTTTAATTCATTATTTTTTGATTGACAAATTCTAAATTAAATTATATATGCTTAGATAGATAGACCAAAAGAAAATAAATTGACAACTTCTAATATTATTTTACAATATTTTTATTGTAATTGACTGTAAATTGAAATTAAATTCCGTAGAAAAAATGATTCCTATTCCAATTAGAATTTCTTTGAAAAGTAAAAATCTCAAAAATTATTACTTATTGAATTTTATTTGGAATTTTTATATACATTTTTTGTTTTTTAAATATGAAATTCATTACACATAATATTGTAGGTAATACATACGTATATATGTATATGCATATAATATATGTGTTATGTAAGTATGACGAATATATTTTTTGCCTTTAAGTACCATATTTTTTATTTAGATTTAAGATTTTTCATATAAATTATTTTTTAAAATTTTACATAATAAAAATATTATTTTTAATTAAATATAAGTTTTGATTTGATTTAATAAAAATTAAATTTTTAATAATATTTTTTAAAAAAATGAAATTTTGTAATATTTTAATAAATTGTAAAATTGGTGTACAAGCTGTATACAGTTCTGTTTGGTTCTTCTTAATTTCAAATCCAATTTGATTTTTTCATAATTTGATCAAGCTATGTATCTACATATGACTAAGAAAAATAAACAGTAAATATTAATAAACTGAAATATTTAATATAAATAAAAACTACCGTAGGCTAGTCACCTACCTAGCTAACTCTCTATGACTATAGAAACTAGGACATTATATCATGCACTAGCCCTATGCTCCTCCTTGGAGTGAAGAAGGAAAAAAAAAAAGAAAAAGTATCTACATATTATGTATATTTGACAAAAAAATTTTATAGACATGGCTTACATTAAGAACAATTGCATGTCATAATTTTTACTTCAAAAAATATTTAAAATTTAAGTGGGAAAACGTAAATTTTTTGAGTTCCTAACAAATTTTATCGGAGAAAATAGTTTCCTATTTTTAATTTACAAAAAAAACCCAAATAAAAAATAAAATCTTAAAATTTTTAAATAATTTTTTTGCTGAAATTCTTTTTGTAGAACTTATTTATTAAAATGTACTGAAACACTTTGTTTGTTCAAAATATAAAAGATATTTTATATTAAAATATTCAAATGCAAAATTCTCCATATGTACACAGACATGTATCTTAGTTGAAAAAAAAAGAATATTAACTTATGCATATTAAATTATGGGCCCAAAATAAAGCCAAAAGAATATTGCAGAAAAAAGAACATATTGTACCTATTTATAAATAATATTGAATACAGGGTCAGGGAAATATATTTTTAAACAACAATAAAACAACTATATACAATAAAATGCTGAACAATAAAAAACACTATATACATTAAATTTCGTAGTCAAATTTTGGCCCAAAATTTACGTACTTTGCAGCTTAAACAAATATTTGTTAGTGAAAACAAAACTTTCAGTCTAATATTCACTCTTATATACTAATAATTCTCTATTTTACTGACATACACCATTTTGTTTTTGGATTCTATAAAATTATATTGATTTCTTGGTAGGCCGAAAAATCGTTAGCCATATTTAAAAAAGTCGATGTTTTTGCTGTTATAGTTCACGGAGCCGAGTTGATCAAATTTTTTTTATAAACAATGAAAAACTATTAATCATATAGGTTTTGTTAGCAAGAATCTTTTTGTTAGCAAGAAAAGATAAACAAATTTTCGAAAATTTTGCAGCGAAATAAAGACTTACCAAAATTGGAAAATATGTTGCATATAATTAAATTGCATAATTATAGGGATCGTGGTATGAATAATCTTATCTAATTTAATATTGAATTTGTTCCACGTTGTATACAATATTATGCTTCGCATTTTGATTATAAACATAAAATTATCATAAATTTATATACAAAATTTTCCAATTAATAATATAAATATATTTTATTAAAAAATATTTTCCTTTATCTTACATAAATTTTATTCATAATAAAAGTTTTATTAAAAAAAATACATACATTTTATATTTTCTTATATACATTCATATTTATTACAGATTTGCATATTTGGAACAATAGCAAATATATTAAATATTATTGTATTGACTAGAAAGGAAATGTGTAAACAACCAATAAATAAAATTTTAAAATGGTTAGCTGTAGCTGATATGTTCGTTATGATAGAATATATACCATTTGCTAGTTATATGTATATAATTTCACCAGGTAATTACATATATAATATTATTTCTGTTCCATTTAAGGGTGTATAATATTCTATATAATCGATTACATAATCCAAATTTTATCGGCAAGAAAAGGAGTAATTGAAATGGGATATATAGTTCGTTATGGTAATTATTCCGGTTTAAATGACCTTATACATTTTTCGTATAGAAAATAAATAATTTACGCTATATAATAATATATAACAGGATAACTAATATATAACCGGATTTTTATACAAAAGAGCAATTAATACACTTAGAAATACTTCCAAATTCATACTAATATCAACTACTCCAAAGTAATTTATATAGTGCTATATTATATAATCTTAAATGGAACATAAACAATATGTAAATATATTATACAAACTACTTATTATTTTCTTTATTAATAAAATTTATTACTATAATTATATTAATATTTTTAATTAAAATTAATATTTATAACTGCATATTATTTATATGTAGGTGTTATACACTATAATATTTTCATATTATTAAATAAATTGCTATAATAATAACATAAAATTTTATAAATAATTTATAATTGTATATAATGTTATATATATATATATATATATATATATATATATATATATATATTATATAGTATTTAATATATAACATAATAATAATTTTGTTTCCAAGTACTATGTCAAATTTAATACGAAATTTTATTATAGAAATTATTTTTTATTGAGAATTTTACTAAAAATTATTTAAAAATTTTTATTTAATTTTTATCATAAATCCAAAATATTTATTAAAGTATTGCCATAATATACAACATTTTTATTAAGTGTATAAAAATATTTTATTATTTTTTTGATAAAAATTTATTAATTAATTAATAATAATATTTTTTTTTTTTTAGAAATTTCAAATCAAGTGTATGGGGCTCAGATTAATAAAACAATATAAATAGTTAATTGTAATTGTACTTGCAAAGATTTTTTCTATAATTATTTAATTGTTTACTTCGAAATAATTTTTACAATATAAATTGAAACAATAATTTGCAAAAATTTCAGTTTAAATTACAATTTAAATAGAAAAATTCAGAATTAAATTTAATAAATTGCATCTGAAAATTTTAAAATATTAAAAATTAGAATTTAAAATTCAAACTCTTTCCATATAATTACAATTTTAACAAGTGAGTGTTTTTTTTATAAATTTTGTAACAATTATAATGAAAACAATTTTCCAATTTTTAATAATACTTATGTCAAAAGTCTTGTGAACGTATATCTCGTTCTCGTAAACTTTTTGACGTCATATAACAGGAAAATTTTTGTTCAAGCATTCTTAATGATGACAATTTCTAAAAATATTTTTGTACGATAAAATTTTAGGTAAACTTCTTGGAATTCCATATAAATATCTTTTAAACAATACAAGGCCTGCATATCAAATAATAAAAACAATATTAGTAGAAAATTTGTAAGTTTGTGTCAAATATTTATGCATAAGTGCAAAAATTTTCATATTTCCATGTTTTAGAAGTGCAAAAATTTAAAAATATAAAAATGTCGTAAACTTTAAGAGCAAATAATATTTGAAAATATCAAAATATCAATTTGTTTACACATACATACATATATACATACTGTATGTATGTCATAAGAAGAGTTTTCGATAGTACATACGTACATAATATTATGTACATATCGGAAAATAAATTTGTCCTAAATATGCTTTGAACTTTATATATGAAAGTAATCGCATACAATTTCACATTGAAAAGATTGGAATTTTTTTTATACTTTAAATAAAATTTTCAACAACTTTTTTTTTTAAAGGTTTTCTAAAATAATATGTGTATGACCCTTAACAATATCATATGATTTCTGTAAATGGCCATTATCTGCAAAGTTGACACTGACATTATATGACTGTAATTATTTGATTTTTGAAATTAATCACACTTGCCAAATGTCATTTAATATATTTTTTTAAATTCAAATGTGATTCAAAGGTGTACTCGTTGTGCGGTCCTCTACAAAAAATATTTCTACAAAAATCACGTAAATTAATATTTTTATGTATTTACAAAGAAATCTTATACTTAATTCCATAAGATATAATTCGAATTTCAACGGAGCACATACTTATGTATGTACTTCATCAAATTGTACTACTCGTAACAGATAAACACATGAACAAGAGATATTAATGTACAAGCTCTCGTAAGTACATACGAGTATATAACAAATTTTTCAACCTTGGACTGTTACACTTAGATTTTCATCTCATTTTGACTTTAAAATTCATATTGCTAAAAATGCTATAGCACAAAATTTTTTTTTGGTCTTTAACATCCTGTTCTTATAAAACTTATGATTTCTATTTTACAAAGTGAATCGTAAAAATTTTTTTCCTCACCCATTCTCATTCTCGCATCGGATATCAAATAATTATTATGTACGTATTTATGTTTAAATACACGATTTAACTACGTAATTCAATATATGTATGTATATATTTAAAATTTTATTATTAAATTTGATTTCTACTAATTTTTCTGCTTTTCTGTTCTTTAATCTTTTATTAAGAGGATTACAATATTCGAATTAATTAAATATGGCAATCGTGTTTACTACTTTTATAAAAGAATCAATAATAATATTTTTTTTTTTAAATTAATTTTATTTTAATCTAAAAATAAAATCATTCTTACAAAAAAAAAATTTATTATTATTAAATTGTAATCTATAATATCGTTAAATTTAAAATAATGGTGTTGGTAATCTAATTTTGTTTGAATATAGAAAAAAAAAAAAAATTAAAACCTTCAAGAGATTTATTTTAATATTATTTTTATTTAAAAAAATGATCTTAATTTTTTTTTCCCTCTACATTATGATAAATTTATAATTCTTATTGTGTGTTTTTTTTCATGTTTTCTATGAATTACAGTGCGAAATGGTCGTTATACGTGGGCAATTTATTTGCTATTTCATATGCATTTCACGCAAATTTTGCACACAATTTCAATATCTTTGACAGTTACCTTAGCAATATGGAGATACTTGGCAATCAGGTACGTCCTCATTTTTTATTCTCTTTTTTTTTAACAAAATATTTTATATATAATAAACAATATTGTAAACCTATAACAAAAATATATATATAAAAATATTCTTCTATATGTGTGTTGAAAAAATTAACATAAATCTAAGAAATATAGAAAAAATACACGTGCGCACACAAATACAATGTTAAACAGCAAAAAAAAAAAATTACAACAATAACACCAAGTATCCTTAATGAAGGCTTCTTTAAAAAAAAAATAAAAAACTTGTTTTTGTAACCTAATTGGAAGGACTTTTTTTATGCTCAGTCATTTTACTTTTCTATTTTATTGTTTTTTGCTTTCATTTTATTATTTTTGTTTTTTTATTAAAAGCAAAAAAATATTTTTTTATTTATTTTAATTTGCATAAATTCTTATACTGAAAGAGATTTTGTCACAATGAAAAACCGCGAGGAAGTAATAATTTTGCTTACTTTAATTTTTATGCGAGCTATAAAACAAAAAAACGCAAAATTAAAATATTTTAAGAGGTGGCATGACGTTCTTTTTTTCCAAAAAAAAAAAAAAAATACTTCCGAAAAAAAAAAAGTTTTGACATTTTTAAAATTATAATAAAATCAAAGGAAATTTAACTACGACGTTATGGGTAACAATTTATTTGTACTTTGACACGAAATAAGTTTCAATGTTTAATTTATGAGCTATTGTCGGCTATTTACGCGCAACGTTAGGTACTCGTATATTCGTCCAATATATTTTTATATTAAATTACAGGATTAGTAGGAGAATCAGTTGAATGACAGAAGTTTTGAAAAATTTGAAATATTTAAAAAGCATTTTTTAATTGCAATGGTCAATTCCTTAAGGATTTGATATAAGTCTGAATAAATTTGGCAACTATAGATAACTGAATTATATGACATTAACTTTAAAATTATCAATCGAGAAAAGTTAGCAGTTACAGTTAATCATTATCTCTTAAACCAATTTTTGTTTTCTTAAATTATAGATGTCATTTTCATTATAGATGGCGTATGGTAAAACATTTTTTTTTTCCAAATTTTGATTAAATGTTCCTTTAAATATTCCACCTTATACTTATATACTACAGTATTACTATTTCCCAGTATGTCGAATATTTGACAATCAATACAATCACGTTCAATTATCTGAAATTGAACGAAATTCTCAATTAACGTTTTAAAAATTATTTCAATAAAGTGGAAAATTTAAAAATTTTACAATGAAAATATTATTTTCTTGGTCATTCATTTTGACATAATATAAAACTAACTTATAATAGCCGTTAGCAATGCATGTATATTAATATTTATGTGTGCATGTATGTGTCTGTAAGTCATGTCGCGTTGGAGTTCATGACTAATATCAGTTGAACTCATTTGATATATTAGAAAACGGCCTATAATATAAGATCTTTTCATAAACACATATCGCGATATATATCGTAAACTGCCCCATATTGTTGAATTCAAAAACAACAATAATGCGAAACTAATATATGAATAACGCAATTAAATCATATTATGATCTGTTCTGATTTTATAGGTTAGTCAAAAATATATCGCATATTCAATACGTTATGTTTTTGCAGTATTGCGTTCCAAAGTTATTATACTGCAAATATTGCATTTATGAAGATTTCTATCAAAAATATCAATTTGTATTCCAATTTTCTAAAATAAAATGTGATACTTTACAAACACATTGATTTGATCATCCTCATTTTTCTCTTTCTTTTTACACTTTTTTGTCATACTTTGATTCTGAAGTATTTATGCGTGTATTAACCGTTATGTATAAATTATTCAAATAAAAAAAAAAAAAAAAAAACAATATTAAAGTCCTTTTTAAATATGAATTTTGAGTCCTTTTAATATAATCACAATATGGTTAACTACATATACCTAATATAAAATAATTTTTAATATTCGAATAAAATTAAATTAAAAGAAAAGAAAAATTGTAAATTTTTTCGGAAGTATTTTAGGTGCGCTTTTATTTTTTTTTTATGAAATTTTTTTATTTTTATTTTCAATAAATACGTTGTTATCCTTATTTAAATTTTCGTTTTTTTTTGTTATTTTATTAATAAAAAATAACCACTTATATAATAACTGGCAATTTGTATAATCGTTAAGCACCGCTGTAATTGAATGTGTTAAAAAATCATTTATATAAAAAATTATTATGTGCGATTGGCGACACGTTAACAAAATTTAAATGTTTTTGTTTTTATGTTTTAATAAAAAAAATAATAATAAAATTTATATATTATGCTAAAACATAAGTGTAAACAATTATATCGTATATATAAATATGCATAATATTAAAATATAATATGCTCGTATATTGTTATTTTAATGATTAGGAACTGCCGTGTATTAAAAAAAATTTATTTTACTTTAATGTTTTTTTAACAAGTTTTTATTATTAAAAGTTTATTTTTATATATATTATTTTATTTTAATTTATTTATGATAATTCTTAAATTAAATATTTTTTCATTTGTAGGTCATTTTGTCATAAAAAAAAATTCCTTTTTTTTATATTTCTATTTGAATTGCAAATTGAATTTCTAAAGTAGTTAAAAATATTTATTTATTTTTTCAGTGTAGATTTTATGAGTTTAATATACTTGCGATTTACAATTTACATATGTAGTTTGAATTTGCATGTAGATTATAATAAAAATTTTAAGTATAAAATTGGTGCCTTGCAGTTTTTATTATTAAGAAAAAATTCGAAAAATAGTAGATTAAAAATTAATTCTTTTATATATAGAACATTTGAGAGCAGGAAAGATATATAAGAACCTACATGTACCCAACTAAGTAACCACACTGCAGATTTATTATTTATACGAGTATTAAAACTTAAAAGTCATACCGTATTGTGATTATTATCGAAAATTCGAAATTGATAATTTTATACCGTTATTATTAATTTTATTGAAAATGTCAATAAAAATGTCAAAAAGGTAATAAAAAAAAAATTGAAATATAATAATTTTTTCCTTCCCAAGTCATTTAAAAATAATTTATAAAAATTGAACCCATATAAAAATCATAAAGAAGTGTGAAAACATGAAACCTAAGATTTTGGGAAATATTAAATTTTATTGTGATATTTTATTTAACTTTTCGGTCTACTCACACTTTTTATTAAAAAATTTAAAATTTAATTTTGCTTTAAAGATTATTTTAAATAAATTTTAAAATAAATCTCGTTCCAAAACTTTAGTATTTGTTCTCTATTTCTCATCTTTGTTTTTTACATATTAAAAATTTTTTAATATTGCATAATTTACGGCTGAAATAAATCCAATTTATTGTAAGACTCCTTTAAAATCTTTTCAATTTTGATACAAAATGTAAGTAAGTTATGAAATTTAATTTGTATAATATTGTAAATTTTTTTGGATAATTCCTGAATTTACTTAAATTTAATAGATATAGTAATAGCTACATACTTTTTATATAATTTAAAAAAAAACATAATTAATTATTTTTTATTGTATTCAAATATTTGACCCAAAATATATGGCATATTCTGTATAGCATATTCATATAGCAGTAACATAAGAAAATGCTAGTAATTTAAAGAGTTTGAAGTTAATTATAATAGGATTAAGGTTTTTTATTATTAATATTGATTGAAAAATTTTATTATTAGATAGTAGAGAAAAATTAGATTAGTATAGTAAGCAAACAAACGCTTATATAGAAAAATTAGAAAAATCATTTTAGATTGAAAGGGAATGCAAATCAAAAATATTTACGACACGTCTTTATATAATTGAAAAGCAAATCAATGTATTAGATGCAAAATCAATTACAAAAGGTAAATTTGCAATTAATTTCATTCTTTTTGATTATCTTTTAAATATCTACGTTATTTCAATTTTATTTTATTCATCTATTCCTGCCCTATCTATGAATGATATGAAAAATTTAATTATGTAATAATTTTTGTTTTATTTTTTTTTGGAATGCTGCTTTTTCAAAATTCAAAATTAATCTTTTAAAATGGAAATTTTTTCTGTTATGTTTAGTTATTTTTTTTGCAGACATCCTCATGGAAAAATTTCAACATTTGTATTGTCACACTGCAGTGAAGCGATAATTTTTTCATTTGTAATTGCTCCAATTTTATGTTTACCAACATTTTTTGTATTCAAAGTAAAACAACTTGGTGATGAAACATATCAAGTGGATGCACAAACGAATACAGAATTATATAGGTATGTTTAATATTATTATTATTTTATAAAATACATTTAAAATTTACTACATACTTAACAAGTTCGCGTACAAGAACATAATTGTCTGACATAATTCTTAAGAATAATAAATTAAAATTTAATGGGATTATGTAAGTGAAAACATAAAATATTCAAAAATTTCAAAATATAAGAACTTATTTTATAGAAAACATATAAAATTAAATAAGGTGAGTCTGGAGGATATATTTTATTAATATATCCTCCAGAATTATATAAATTGTATATAATATGGAAAATAATAAAATTTCCTCTTTAATTTAGACTTTTTGTAAATACTTTTTTAAAATTATTTAATTTATTTTTTGAACTTGTCCATAATTTAATTTTAAAGTAATCTTTAAAAATTTAATAAAAAAACATTTACTGTAAATACTTTTATTTTAATGACAATCGAAACTAAAATAGGAACATAATGATTAAAAATTATATTGCTTTACATCAAGGATAATATAAACAAGGACATTTAAACTCCTACAATAATCTGAGAAGTTTTATAATTTAAAACAAGAAAATCATATTGGAAAAAAAAGTCACTCTTTGCGTTAGAACTTTTAAAATATTGTAAATACTGTGTGTGGAGCTGATGTGATCGGAATCTAACTCCTACTATTGAAATTTTTCATAAGAAATACATATTTAAACAAATGGCTAAAATTCAATCTTAGTTTAACTTATTTTAAATAATTAAAAATAATTACAATTTTAGATAAAAAAAATTTCATTTTAAAATTTAACTAAATTTTTACTTTAATTACAATTCAATCTTTTTAAAGTAAAAAATAAAAGATAAATTTATTAATTATCAAAATAAATAATATCTAATAAAACAACATAACCAGTTTCTATAAAATTACATAAAAAGAAAATAATTCGTCCTTGATTATTACTTTATGCTTTTTCATATATATTTTTTTTTTGTGTTGTAATTATAATTTAATTTGTTTAATAATATAATCAATTGATGCTTGCATATTTAATGAAAAAAATTACAAAATACAGCAAGTAATATTCTCTAAGGCTCACATAATTATTGTTGAACAATTCAACAATTCACATCTACCTATGTATATGCACACATAGTGTTTGACAATAATTTTATCATTATGTGTGCATTATCATTGATTTTTAAAATAATTATTGTTAATTGAATTGTTATTATTCGTTTATTAAAGTGTGCAATTTAAAAATTTCAATAATTTGATATTTTGAAAAATAATTTTTTAATTAAGTGCACTACATGTATCATAGATTGAGAGCTAAAAATTACTCGTATAAAAATTTGTTTATGAAATCAGTCTCTAATTTAATTTAATAAAGAAAATTATTAAAGTGAAATTTGAATTAACACACATCAATTAATTAAAATCAAGATTATCTTAATATTACATAAACTCGCAATTCATATGTGTACATATTTTTTTTTTACTTTGATCTTGAATGTATGAATAATTTTTTTATTTTTTTTTAAATTATGTTTAAAAATTTTAAATTTATGGTTTATTTATAGTAAGTCTTCTAGATATTCTAAGAAAATTTCAAGGTTCTTTGTATTATATAAAAATTATATCGTATACTGATAATGTTAGATAAAAAAAACGTTTTTATTTTATTCCCAAAATATTAATTTTAATTTTGACATCAAAATGTTTTTTTTTTCTTTTTTCATAATTCTTTGCATATATGCGATTAAATAAAATTAATTATGGTGAGATTATTACATAAAAATATTAAATCCTTTTACCTAATTATAGAATATAATTGATTTAAAATATATAAAAATCTAAAGAGTACATGAATTACCAAGAATAAGGCTAAAATCCGTCGTCAAAACTTTCTATATTAAATTATAGCATTTAAAAAGAAATTCCAATGAATTGTTACAATAAAAATATTTATAGACTTTTCTACTAGACTTATGATAAATATGTAATCAAAATAATTTTCTTACGAATTTATTAAAAATTAATATTTTTTTTTTTGAAATTTTTGTAAATAGCATTTATGTAAATAACTTTAAACTGGTAAAATCTGAAACGAGAATTAAATTTTTCGGGATGAAAGAAAAACTGATGAAAAAATTCAATATTTTAGAATAATTAATAATTAAAAGTTCATATACAATTAATTTTTTTCTTGTGTAATAAATTTATGATTCAATTGATTCATAAATTTGTTTCTGAACCGTAAAATAAATTATGATTTCGAAAAATAAATTCCATAATTACATATCTGAATTTTATTAATTCAACCATTTTTTTTTATACATATATGCACATATATTTAAATTAAAACATTTATTTTAACTTAATTTTTTTCATTTCACTTGATTTCTATATTTATGGTTGATAGGGTACTATAAACTTTTTTTTTATCTAAATTCCAATGAAGAACACCGAATATTATAAAAAGGAATTTTGTTAGCGCATATATACTACACCTATATAATATAATCTTGTCTACATTATATAATTTCTACCTAATATTAAAATTAAATCTGCATATTATATTTTTACAATTACTTAAATATATATTTTTTTTTCGTATGTATATATGTACATGTATATAAATATGAAAATTAATTCATTGTACTGATTTATTTCTCTTAACTTTTATATTGTAATATAATGTATGTACCTTAAAGATTATAACCTTCACACATTGTCGATTTTAACAATTTTTATTTTGTTTTACGCTTTAAATCAAATTGTTATTATTTTCAAATTCAAGAATAAAAATTTATTACTGTTCATATAATAATTCCTCATTTTAAATTAAAAATTATTATTATTGCGATCTTATGATGAAATATGAATTATTTCAAATGAAATGGTAAAAAAAATATAAATCTTTGTAATAGGATTTTTTTTTTAGCATTGTATTTATGTTTATTTGAATATACAATGATAACGCATGTAATTACAAATGATAATGTTCACACGCGTATCTATGTTATATAAAAATATGCAAATGATTTAATATAAAACGCAAACAATGTGCCATAAACTGAAATGTAATCATCAAGTTCTTGCTTTTTGGTCCATAAAAATAACATTTTGAAAGAATATTATGTAAATTTATTTTACATCATCACATAATTTTCTTCCAATATCTTATTTTCAGATTATTTATAGATTTTAAATAAAATAAATGTAAATATATCTGGATTCATAGAAAATTTTATAAAGAATTGTTAATCTAAAAATAATCTAAAAGAAATGAAATCAAAACATTGGAGGAAAGTGGTTAAAATAAGCAACCAATTATGATTTTAGTAGAAAAACCCATTTCTTTATTTCTAGAAGTGGAAAGTTCGTCTACTAACGAATACTCTTAGTCTTACAAAAACTTATTCTTAACATTATTAAAACTAAACTAATATAATGTTTGTTTTTAATTTTAATTTTTCACTTTATAAAGAATTTTTTGTTTGCTATTTTTTTTTATTTGAATTACCGTGTTCATATCGTTTAACAAAAATTTTGCAAGTTAAAAATTGGTTCGCAATTAGAATTTATTGCGAATTTATGGTATATGTCTACATAATATTATTATATTAATATTATATTATTATTATAATATTAAAATTAACATTTTGTACCCGTACATAAATATAAGTAGAATAACATAAATTTAATAATATTTTCAATAGAATTTTGATGTATTGTACGAAACGGGTAAGATTAATGAAAATCCTTGAATATATAACAAAATATAATGAATTTCATATGCTAGGAATATGAGGCAGACGATCATATCAATAAATTATAATTTTGAATTTGAAAATAAATTTGTAAATAATTTAATTTTTATATTTTATATTTGTGTAGATATTTTTATGTTATTATGATTTTAGATTATTCAAAAACGGTGTTAATACTTTAAACTTAAATTATTTAAATTCATTATTATATCATTAATTGTAAGTATTACAAATGTAATATAATATCTAATTACTTAAAAGAATGTAATATAGTATCGTATTACATTAATTTAATTAAATATTAAAGATATACATAAAGTGAATAAAATTAAATATTGATTTTATAAAGAAAATAAATAAATTTACAATAATTATGGTATAATATACAATTAAATTCTATATAAAATATTTAATTTTTTAATATTTTAAATTTAAATTACTTCTTACATTTAATTTTGAATGCAAAATTTTACTTTAAATGAAAATAAATACGTGAAAAATTTAAAAAAAACTTTTTATATTGGTAAAAAAAAAAATGTTTTTTTTTTGTTTTTATCTTTTCAGCAGAATAAGCACGCTTTCTAAACTTTTTAGAAATTAATTTCCGTTTAAATCTATTATCCTGTAATGGCATCAGACATTTCTTTTGAAGAATCCAAAACAAATACAAAAATTAAAAATTTTGAATTCTCATTTTATGAGGAAAAAGAATAAGAGATTTTAGAAAAGAAATTCCTGTTCAAAAACCCATTCTTTAATTTTTTTGATTTTAATTAGGATTTTAAAGGATTTAAATTATTTTTACTGTAATAATTCGAGTATTCAATCATTTTTATGTGTAGGAAAATATGTGTTTTCTTGTTGAAAAAAAAAAATTCACTTTATCTACGGAAATATAATCTAAATGTATACTACTTATAACATAATTAAATCATTCATACCAATCTATTTAAAATAATGCTGGTAAAGGTTAGATACAATATCAAAAAAGTTTAGAATATACACGTAATATGTTTAATTGTTTAAAATAAATTTTGTATAATCTTAATCATAAATGACTGCGTTCTAAATTAAGCTAATAAATCACTTTCGGTTCAGCTTCTCCTATTTAATCTGGTACACATTTGGTATCCATAATCGTAAATGGCGGAACCATAATTCATTTTTTTCCATTCTATTTAATGTTTTATGAATTTAAAACTATAGATACTAGTTATCGTATTTTTCACGTAATCATATCTCAAACGTGATGATTATTACTTCCTGTGCACTCTTTTTATATTCTGATATTGGCAGTAGTCTTTCAGGTACCAGTATAATATTTAGTATTGTCTCTATGCATCCTGAACATTTAAAATTTTTCTTATTTTGCGATTTTAATAATGAATTAATATTCATCTAGTGGCCATCTCTAATATTTCTCTTCCTTTTCCAAAAATTTTAAGATATATTCTAGTTGGCCGATTTAGCGTTGAAGTCTCCTACGGTTATTTTTTCCTACAAAAGAAATAGAAATATTTATGTTATATAATTAAAATTGCTATTATATTATTTTGTTTGAAAAATTTTAAATTTTTATTATCACTTATATATATTTTATGATGACTTTAATCAATTATTATATTTAATGATCTGAAATTTTACTTTTGGACCGAATATTTTATTTTTAAAATTATTGACTACATAGATTTTGCTCGTTATATTGTAATGTGAATAATATTTCAAGTATGTCATAAATGAATAAAAGGCACAATTATAATAAAATTATTTTTGATTTATTTTTTACATTTTTTTTGGGCCAATTAAATTCAAATTGTTAAAGACAACAAGTCTAGCCTATACAACAGTAAATTAAACAATTTAATTACATGTACGTATATAATATGAATTGAAATTTTTAAACGTTTAAAATTATTTAATAATGTTACTGAAAATATTAATGTGTATAATTAAATCATGAATTTTTATAAGTATATGTACAGATTTAGAAGTGATTTTCTAAAAACCCTAAAAAAACTTCTATTTTATTCAAAAATTTTTTTGAAAAGTAGTCTATCAATAGGATGAAATAGTGAAAAAGATTCTATTATTATTTATCTATAACTTTTTTTTAGCCACATAAGTTGCTTTAAATGAAAATATTATATTAAAATATATTTGTAAAGAATAAACAACAAATTCAAATTTTGTAAATTACAAGTAATTTTTTGTGCAATTAATCTTTAATTTTCAAGATTTTTATAATTACTACTCGATATCCATATATGATATTCTTATAAAATCTAAAATATTTCTATACATTATACGTGCATTCATATATATATCAATTCGAATATTTTAAGATTTTCAATGAAATTTTACAAAATGCTAAAACACTCTTTGATTTGAATAATTGAAAATTTTTTGATTTCAATTATTTAATTGATTATATTATAATGGTACAATTATTTTAATAATTTCTCATTTATTTTTAATGAACATTCAAGCTATATACCACATTGCCTTATACCACATTTTCTTAGTATTTTATAAATTTTCTTTATAACATTTCAGCAAAATATAAAAATTACATTTAAATGAAATTATTCGCTTCATAACATTCATTTAATTTATTTTACATTTTAAACGTTTCACAAAAATTTCTTAACAAATATACGCAATTTCATACTAAAATTTTAAAGATCTACGTAATATAAAATTGGAAAAATTTAAAAGAGAAAAATTTTTAGTCTAAAAAATTTATTTTAAATTTAAAGTTTAATTTTTAACATAATTTAAATTGAAATGACAAAAAATTGGAAAAAAAAAATACATTTTTCTTTATTTCCTTTTTCTTTTAAACGGTATAAAAAATTATTTTTTATTGAAATGTGGTGGTGCTTTTTATTTTGTGAGGAAAACTTTCTTCATAACATTATTATAATTTGTTTTTTCTTTTTTTTTGGTTTGGTACATGAAAAACATTCCAATAATAAGTAATAACTTTAATATATCAACATTGCTAATTTTTTTTTAAATTCTTAAAGCAAATTTCCTATCCGGATTCTATTTAAAAATATGATTTAAGATGAAAAACATCAGAAAAAGGATCATATGCAAAAAGTACATAGCTCTATATACGAACATATAACATATAGACTTTAATAAACTTTTATTTCGCTCATGTGAGCAATATTTTTTCTTATTATAAAATGCTGTATTTAAGAATATTTGTAAAATGAAAATTTTCATGACATATGGTTATATTATAACATTAAATTATAAAACAAATTTGAATATTATTTTAATTTTAAACTGAAAATCAAATTTATGGTATACATGTATGTATATTTAGTATAGAATTATGTACTTAACAAATTTTTCACTATGAAATCGCAAATGTTATAATATAAATTTAAGATTTTGATATTCAACATTTTGATTTTTTATTAATTTTTGTTTAGGAAATAATTTAATTTAGGTTTAAATAAAGTTTCTTTTTTAAAAAGTTATTAATATAGGTGCTTTTTAAGGAAGTAATATTCAGAAGTTTACATAAAATTTGTAAAAATTTCCAGAACCCATTCAATTAGTTACGTATCTTATAAATTAGGGTTTCTTACAAAATAAATTGAACAATGTGATATATTATATGTGTACATTTGAGCAAAACCTTTAAAAATATGCAAAAACAAGTGACTTAAAATAAAGTTTTAAAAATATACAAAAAATTTTAACTTGACCTATACCTATAGTTGTAAGAATCTCTATAAACTAAATATCATGAACATTAGTATTTTATATTTACAAATTTTCTATGCAATAAACAATAATAAAAGAGAAAAAATAAATTAATAATTTTTATTAATCGACTCGTGGTTATTATTCCTAATAAAAGTTTAAAGTACTTCTCCTATCTTCTATCTTCAATTTTTTCATGTACAGCTGATGAATATTGATAATTATATAAAAGGTCATTAAATTATATAGAGCAAAGTCTTTCAAAACTCCTTTAATTTGCAATTTTATTGTTTTATATACACAAAGAATCATCTTATTAAGCAGACGCACCTGAATACCGCACGTATTGCCAATTTCATTATAAGAATAAATTATGATATCAATTTGAAATATTGTCGTTAAAGCTATCCAGTTGTCCATATAGTATCCTTTTTTTAAAATTTTATAGCAATTATGTAACGAATTCGTATTCTTGCCGCTATTCTTTTATTGTATTTTGTTCTGCATTTTCTTTATAGCTCTATAGTTCTCTATAACAGCTTTCTATACATAATTGTATTATTCAATAAAATTAATTTTTTTTTGTTCCAAGGGTCGTAATTATTTTCTTTGTTGTACTCATAGAAACTTAGAAGACCCAAAAATAATTCATTCAGCATTCTATTCAATTTGTAATAATTAAATGTCTTTTACACATAATTGAAAACAAAACAAATATGTCTGGAGTCCAGATTGCAACATTTTTGCTTTCTAAAAAAAAAAAACAAAATTATATTTTTATTATTATCCAAAATTCATATAAATTTTAAAATTTTGTTAGTAAGATGGTTAAATTATGCTTTTCAATATTTATCAATATATTATTCTATAATTTATTGCTTTCTTATTTACTTTGAATGAATGTAATTGCGATATAGTAATTCCAAATATCATTTTATTATTCCCGTTCAAGCTTTGTTCGCTAGATATTTAAAATTAAGCGTTCTATTAGAAACACATTAGAAAAAAGAGTGGCCTGAGCAATTGTCATGAATAGTGTTCATGCACGCGTAACGGTATCAAGTTGACACGCTTAGCTCCGTTTTAAAAACAAAATTTACCCTAATTTAATACAAGCAAGCAAATATTCACTATGAAGTTTTTGATAAATGTATTGAAATAGTTAAGCTAATTATTTTATTTTTAAAATTTTTATGTCTGATTTAGGGTTTTACATTTCTTTATTACATTAAAGTTCAAATAAACTTGAAATATATAATATTCATGGAATTAACTATTTATGCACTTATTACCTTCGCTCACATCTTAGAAATCAAATATACAATTCCACTTAAATATTATACTTGTAATTTAAAAAACATACACTTATTGTACATATAAAACTAATTGGTTTTACATTTTTTACAGTTTCAATTTTTGGGTTCATTCAATTCTGATAAAATTATTACCATGTTGTATATTAACTGTGATAAGTTTTATATTGGTACGAGTATTATGTGAGGCATCAAAACGTAGAATGAAATTAAAAGAATATAATAATCCAAATCCATCAGTGTCATTGAATGGATGTCATAGGTAAGTATTCTAGAAAATAACAAAATAAAAAAATATTTATTTTTTAGCTTTATTTAGGTTAACTATTATTAGGATTAAAGTTTAAATATTTACAAAAAAATATTAAGAATTAAAAAGTTCTAAAAACACACAATTTTTTTTTAAAATTGTACAAGAGACGTGCAGAAATTTTTAAATTTAGAATTTGTTCGTACAAAAATGAACGTGGACTGTAGAACACTTTTATTTGTATGCAATCGCTAATTTAATTTATATTTTTAAAATATAGGACTTTGTTTAAAAATTTCACTATATAGGTCAAATTAATTTTTCGATATTCAATTTCTAATTAATACATAAACTGATGGACAGTTTTTGAAATTAAGTTTTGCAGTATCGTTCTTCTACCCACCATAAAATGTAATTACTATTTGAGAAAAAATCGTTCTCGATGCCCCTAAAATATGTTTTAAAAATTTTAATTTATAAATTTATAGTTTGTAAACCTTATATATTATATAATTAATTAAATAATATTTTATTTCCATTATATATATATATATATATATATAGTAGACCATCAGCAAAATGTGATCGAAGACCAGATAGAACAACAATGTTACTAGTTGCTGTATTAATTTTATTTTTAATAACAGAATTTCCACAAGGTATATTAGGTTTATTAAGTGGTATAATTGGACGTAGTTTTTTAAAAGGCTGTTATACATCATTTGGTGAAATTATGGATTTATTAGCATTAATAAATGCAGCTGTTGGTTTTGTATTATATGGTTTAATGTCAAAACAATTTAGGACCAGTTTTAAATCATTATTTATTAAAAATCGTTTAGCTGGTATTGAAATGACACGTACAACAGGTATGACAATGACATGTGTTTGATTAAATAAATTAAAATTTAATTTATAAATTGAATTAAAAATAAAAGAAATAAACAAAAAAAAATTAATAAAATTAATGTTCATTAAAGAAATTTTTTTTAAATATTTTTAATAATACAATAATTTTTAAATAATTATACTTTTATTAATTTTTCATTTATATTTTTTTTTTTTGTTTTCTTTAAAAAATTTCAGTTCATAAATATTCGATATAGTTTTTTAATTTCATTAACTATCATATAAATTTTAATAAAGCAAAACAAAAAAAAAAAACGCATAATGTCCCATTACATTTTCTGTGAAAAAAAAGTGCAATATTCAGTGATCAGTTCATCTATATACATATACAATGTAGTGATTGCAGTCATTTTTAATAATTACAAAAAAGAAATTAATTTTTATTATTTATTACAAAATGATGCATGTAATTATAATTGAATTTTATTATTTAAAAAATATTTTAAGTTATGAATGTAAAAAACTAAAATCGTTTTCTTTTTCTGTTGTAAAATAAATACATAATAATAAATTATATAAGTACAATGTAGATTAGGAAGAATATTAAAAATCATAAGTAATTTTAAATCATACATGATTACTTTTTATATAGTCATTTAATTCATATACGGTTTCAAACGAAATTCTCAAGGAATTTTCTTGTTTCACTTGCAATTTTAGCTTAAAAAATAATTAATTCAATTTACCGATTTAAGTAAAATTAACAAAAAATTCTGTTCTTAATGCATTGTTTACAAAATATTTTACTATTAATCAATTACTTTAATTAACAACAGAAAATAAATAAATAAAATATTATTCTAAAATGAAAATTATTATACTAAACTAAAATTTATTTTGTGCTTACTAAATTTTATTTAATTCAGGATACAGATTATATACCTATTACTTTTTATATTCTTCCTATATTTATATTAAATTAAATAAGTGCGAGTTTAAAGAATATCAAATATGCATGCTCCTTAAAACTAATATAAAATATGTGACTAAAAGCTTAACTGAATACAATACCATTACTTTCAAGAAAATTTATAGTTACAAGTTACAAGTAATAAATGTTATTTACCAAAACGGATTAACAAATATTTTTCTAATGATTTCATCCAATGTTAAATGTAATACCTAAAAATATACAAAACTATAGTCTTTCAATTATGCTTAAAAGTATAATAAAAATTGAGTTATAATTACATACAATATAATTAATTAGAAACTTACTAACATTTAAATGAGTTGTTAAACCATTACATATAATAATCCAAGCACTGGAAATACGGCACGAGTTTAATATTAATAATCTAATGATCTCACATTTCTTACTTTCCAGTTAATTACATTTTGTTAATATAAATTCTTTTATACAACTATCAATTCCATTATCTTAAATTAAAATTTTTGATATCTTAGCTTGCAAAAATTCCAGTTCCGTTTATTACGAGTATTTAAGCTAGTTTATTGAAAACTATTTAGTTGTTTACAGTTTCGATTATTCAAATTTCGACACTTCGATTTTTTGATTTAAAACTACGAGTATAAAACATAAAAATAAAATTTATTATGTTAATAAAATGTCACTACTTCAAAATCACAGCAATAAATTTAACAAACCATTCACAATAATTATTGTGAATATAAAATAAATATATTTTTGATTTTGTTTTTACAACTATATGAATTTAATTTTATTTGATTTCATATTCTTAAGTGTGATATACAATTATATTATCACACTTTAATACATAATTTAGCATAAAAAATAAGAAACAAAGTTTGGTAAATAACACTATAAGAGTAATCAATATTTTATAATTAACAATTTTTTTTTGTTCTTAACCTAATTTTTATAGCATTTCATGCTTTCTTAACAACATAATAATGTAAATATGCAGTAAAATGAAAAATTGCTATATATTGAAATGAATAAAATTTTCTTGCATACCCATCCACAATTCATAAATCGCTTTTTAAATTAATCATTCATATTTTACACATGCAATTTTGATTATACCATTCTAATTACATTTCCGTTATGTATTTTACATTTTCTTTAACTAAATTTAATTTTAATGACATACAATATATTAAATAATAAATGTTATAATATTGGATTGGGGAGCCTTATATAAAAAAAAAAAAATTAATATTTAAGAAAATTTAAAATTTTTAAAAATTAAGTGCCATATTGTAAATTTTTTTTTACAATTAAGTATATACATTATAAAAAAAAATGTTTTTTTTTTTCTTATGCATTTAAATATTATATAAATTATTAATGTTAAGAGAATATTTGCATGCAATTAAAAATATAAAAAAATAATAATTATAACTATATTTTATTAATTAGTATTAAGAAAAGCAAAAATTTGTTCATTGTGAATTGCTAATATAATATATATATGATAATTGTGAATTTAATCAATGTAAAAATTTATTATTGAGTTGTAAATTAATAAAAAAAAATTCAATATACACATTGAGAATTTAAAAATTACAATGTAAAATAAATAAAAATTTAAATAACTGATGATAATAAATATTTGCTTGCTAAATTTAAACATTTAAATTTATAATTAATATAAAAATTACATATAATTATAAAATTAATTATTATATAATATATGTCATTATGTATATGTAAATATAAAAAAGTAGGTCTTAGATTAAAAATTTCGCAAAATTATATAATAAAATTTTGATAGGAAAATAAAAAAGAAATTTAAATATTTTTATTAAAAATTATTACAGCATTAAGCTATTTATTAAAAAACGCTTAAATTAAAAATTTTGTATATATAATATTTAAGAAAAATTTAATTATAATAAATAAAATAAATAAAAGAAAATAATTTTAAATAAAATTAAAATTAAATTATAAAATTTAAGAATAATCTTATAAAATTGAATGTTTACATTAATTATATTCAATTTTTATTATATATATATATTAATAAAATTTATAACAAAATTTTATTATTATATAATAATTATGACCTATATATGCAAAATTGAATAAAACCAAAAAAAAAAGCACAATGAATAATTACAGCAACATCAATATAAAAAAAAATTTGTGTATGTAAAATATTTTTCAATTAAATTAAGAATATATGCAATAATGTACTATATAAATTAATATTCAAACTGTCTCTATAAATTATCATATAACAATTGTTATATCTAATATATTAATAATACTCTGATAAATTAATAAAATATTTATAAATAATATGTAAAATTGATTGAAAGAGTAACTCGTCTGACAAAATGTATAAATTTGCAATTTGGAATACTTTGGTGATGTATAAATTTACATTGTTATAATATCAAAATATTGCCAACTAAAAATTAAGAGAGTTAACTATATAAAATAATATCTATAAACATAAAATATGTTATTGTAAACTAATATCCTGGAAAAAACTTATTGTGATTCGTCAATAAATGTTAAACTTATAACTTTTAATTTCATCAATTTGTCAAAGATCTATCAGAAACCTGTTTAAGACGGAAACAGTTTTTACTGTAATATTATACATTATTAGAAATTGAGTACATTAATATACGTCTATGTACATTGGTTATTCTTTAACTCTGTCATTAACTTTCATAAAAATTGTGTTGATCAATTTGTTGAATAAATGACACATAGAATTTTCTATTTTTAAATTTGAAAGCTAATATAGTAATGGCCAACAAATTTTAAATATGTAGTTTTTTCTTTTATAACTGCTTTTCGGTAAAGAAGTAAACACACGAAATTTTACACTAAAAATTTTACTCGAGATTTTACATGATAGTTTTTTAACAGTTTGTTTGATAAGAATAGCAATTTATATTATCGTTTATTGTTATAAAATAATTGTGAATTGATTATTTCCCAGAAAAAATTAAATTAAATAGTAAATATTCGGTAATATGAGTAATAATTGAAATTAATTATAAATAAAATAAGAAAAATTCCAAATGATTAACCTAAATCAAATATCAATTACATGAATAATATTTAAAATTTAAATAATTTTTATTCCACCTTGAAAATTAAATTAATCTAATTAAATAATTTTTTGGTTTCCATCTAATTTTTATCGAATAAAAATAATTTTGAGTTAAAATTTTTTATTTTTTTTTTTAATTTGCAATTTTTCCAATATAAATACAAAGTTGATTTTAATATTCAATTTTTATATAACTTTAATTTCAAAATAAAATATGAAGAATTTTAAACATTTCCAAAGTATTTTGAACAGCTAAAAAATTCATTTTTAATTAGTTTTAATTTAATCAATTAATTTGATTTATTTTGTGGCTTTGAGGTCAGAATTGATATCTCAATTGTATTGGTTTTATATTCTGAACAACTGAATATAAAACAAACTCCCTATCTGCATATTAATAAAATTATTATATTATAATTAAAACTATTTAAAATTTCAAAATTTCTATTTTAAATTTTAAAACATCCATCGATAAAATTGACTTTTTAATAGTATTTTTGTACGGCCACAAAATCTCAAATTTTTACATAAATGGGTTTGAAGTTCTAAAGATCTATAATATTAATAAATTAAAATGTAAAAATACCAAAAATATATTCTGGCGGACGTAGCTATTATTGGATCATAATTAGAATTCTTAGGCTACATGCACACTTTAAAACAATTAATAATAATGATAATCGTTTCTCACAAGATTATTTCTTTCATTATAAATTAAAATGTATTAAAAATATGCTAAAAATAAACTTAAGTAATTTCCTAGACATTTTTTCATTTTATTGATTGAAAAAATTTTTAATATTCTTTAAACATCAAAGGAATTCACTTATATGCTATTGTATGTATTACACAGTTTATATATATATACACATGTATATGCAATAATTGTAATATTATAAGGATATTATAAGGATTTTTCATCTGTTATTCCAATTGAATTTACTTTTCTCCTTTGTTTGACTTAAAAATGAGATTTCTTAAGAAATTTTCCGATTATCATTTTAAGGATTACAATACTATGTAATATATGGTTATGTATACAAAATATATTGTGTATACTATATATGATTTTTTATTTTACACTATATTAATAGAAACTAAAAGAAAAAATCACGATTTTTGAATTAATGAATGCGCATACATAATTATATAGTTTATTGTGTTTTAAATCTCAATATTTTTTCAAGGAATTAAACTCTTAAACTTTTGAAAACAAACGAGTGAAGAAAAATAGAGAAAATAAAATCTATATATATATATATATATATATAGAAATTTCTTGAAATAATAACTTTAAATTTACATGTGAATTTTATAATATTAAAAAAATTTTATATTTCATGTTAATACTAAGAATATTTTGTTTTAAATC